TGCCAGGAGAACACTCACCCCCGACGGACAGAGGACAGGCGGACTCAGAAACAAGACTAGCGGCGTAGTCGAGATGACAAGCAGCACCAAAGTCGACAAGCTCAGCAACTAAGGCAGACGCAGCAGTGGACTCAAACGAAGGGTCAGTGACAATAGTGGCTAGAAGACGTGTAACAGTAGGAATGGCAGCACGAACCAAGTCAGACTCAGGAAGACGGTAGAGAAGACGGCAGGGGAACTCGCAGTGGAACAGAGGAAGGACGAAGTGCCATAGCGTGAGTGTCGGGGAGAGGAGGAGGACGCGGACGCGATACACGACGACCAGTGCAAACAGCGCGAATAGGCGAGGCAGGACGAGACTCAGGCTCACGACGCTCTGTAAGAGAGTTCGTCTGCTCAGTGTAAGGAGAAGGAGCAGGCAGTGGAGAGTCTGGCTGTAAATGTGGACGTGACTGGTCAGGCGGTGGACACATTAAGGGAGGAGTAAGGCCAGTAGAAGATGGGAGACTAAGAACCTGGCGAAGCACCGAGCCAGGTGGCGGCAGAGACGACGGCGACGGTGGAGCGAAAAACGATCGCTGCTGCACAATGCCTCCTGCACCAGTACGGCCAGCTCCAGCGTCCCCAGTGCCAGCACCTCCAGGTCCAGGGCCTCCAGCTCTAGTGCCTCCAGCTCCAGTGACTCCAGCTCCAGCGCCTCCAGCTCCAACGCCTCCAGCGCCAGCACCTCCAGCTCCAGCGCCTCCAGCTCCAGCACCTCCAGCTCTTGTGACTCCAGCTCCAGCGCCTCCAACTCCAGCGCCTCCAACTCCAGCGCCTCCAGCGCCAGCGCCTCCAGCTCCAGTGCCTCCAGCTCCAGCGCCTCCAGCTCCAGTGCCCCCAGATCGAGCGCCTCCAGCTCCAGCACCTCGAGCACCTTCAGCACCAGCAGCACTAGCACCTCTAGCAGTAGCAGCACCATCAGCTCCGGCAGCTTTAGTACGTCCAGTACGAGCACCTCCAGGACCAGCAGCTCCAGCACCTCCGGTACCTCCAGCTCCAGCGTCTCCAACATCAGCAGTACCTCCAGCACCTCCAGGACCAGCTGCTCCAGCGCCTCCAGCTCCCGCGCCTCCAACGTTAGTGCCTCCAGCGGCAGGGCCTCCAGCTCCAGCAGCGCCACTCCGACAGCTGGTGCGCCGAGGAAACCACTCGCGCAGCTGCTGCAGGGAGAGAGGCTCCCGCCGGCTAGACCACTGTGGCGAGGCACCCATAGAACCTCCAGCAGACGCTGTACCCCTATCCTCAGCACCCCAAGACCCAGTACCCTCTGGCTCAGCGCCCCCAAGCTTCGCACCCTCACGCTCAGCACCCCCAGGCTCCGCACCCTCAGGCTCAGCACCCCCACACTCCGCACCCTCAGGCTCAGCACCCCCAGGCTCCCACCCGTAGGCCCAGCATCCCCAAACGCAGTACCCCTAGCAGTACCACTCCCAGCAACACCAGAGTCACCAGTGACATCGACAGGCACAGTTAAGGGGAGTGGGTCTACCTGAGACATACCTGAAGGAGTAGGACCCTGAGGGGGGAGCGGGTCTACCAGAGGGGGACCTGGAGCGAGGAAGAGCGGCAGGGGGGGGGGGGAGGGGGGGGGGAGAGGGGCAGTGGGGTAGGGGAACAGATGGTAAAAAGAAGCCGATTCGTCAAACGTGACATCCTGAGAGGACAGGCTGGAGGGCTGCGCGTGGGCAGGGCAGAACGGCGCTCGACCGGCAGGGCGGCGCGCGGGCAGGAAAGGGCGGCGCGCGGGCAGGGGCAGGGCGGACGGGCGACGCGGCGGGCTGGGGTAGCCCGCACGGGCGACGTGACGGGCAGGGGCAGGGCGGACAGGCAACGCGGCGGGCTGGGGCAGCCCGCACGGGCGACGCGGCGGACAGGGGCAGGGCGGACGGGCGATGCGACGGGCTGGGGCAGCCCGCAGGGGCGATGCAACGGGCAGCAGGGGCGCACAAGCGGTGCGACGCGACGGGCAGCAGGGGCAGGGCGGCGTGGCGCAGGGCAGGGCATGCGCGGGCAGCAGAACGCGGGGTAGGGCGTGCACGGGGCGGCGCAACGCAGGGCAGGGCAGAGTGCGCGCTAGGCAGCGCAACGCAGGGCAGGGCAAGGCAGCGCGGCAGCCAGGAGGGCGGCGCGCGCACAGAGGAGCGCGACTGGTGGGGCATCGCGACGGTAGGGTAGGGTGCTACGGGCAGGGTAACGCGCTACGGCAGGGAACTGTACGGTGGGCCCTAAAAAAACGGTCTTGGAACAGGACCTGCTCTGGAACCATGTCAGAAGACTAAGCGAGAATGAATGCATTGAACAGAAAGGTGGTACAAGTACTAACCCTAATTGGGTTGTACCCCTTATGGGCTACCCCACTACAGCCTACATGATATACAATAGTTTGACACAGCTGTGAGGGTGCAGAGCGATGGATGCCGGGAGACTTGCAGGAAGGTACACTTAGAGGGGCTCTGGGAATTGTGGAAAAGAGGCGGAGAGAACGGAGAGAGGTGGAGAGGAAGGTGAGGGACGGAGAGAAAGGCGAAGGACAGAGGCAGAAGAAGGAGAGGGGAAGAGGCAGAGGAAGGAGAGGAACAAAAGGGGGAGTGGAAGAAAAACTCAAGGGGAAAGTGGGAGGCACACCCTCCTTCATGAAAATGTTGAATGATTCTTACAGTGGCCCAAAATTCGCTTCTAATGAATGAATCTGTACGTGCTTGTAGAATAATGCTAAAGGGAGGATACTACATTTCCAGCACCCTCCCGGTTACCACCATGTCACCATATGACAGGACTTCGCACAGTCACAGCGAGACTCACGAGCACCTGCGTCAAGGCGCCAGGTGCATCAGCTGCAGATTTTTGGTGTGGCTCGCAGGTAGGCACAGCCACACATTTCGCCGTCGCTAACGGAGCACACAGGTTGAGCGCAGCCGAATCTGTTCAATCTTCTTCCGTCGTGTGGCTTCCACGGGCAAGGAACTGGCTGCGCTGGATGAAGTTGTCCAATGAGATTCTTGTAGTTCTAGCGAAAAATGCAACGCATACCGCCAGGAGCTCCTGATATCGCGATTGCCGCAGCGAAAGCGAGGGGAGGAACTCGTATGGCGCAGCACGATGCCCCTACGCCCTCCATTCCTATATTGAGCATCGAATGCGTCTATTGTCTTCATTCTATTCGCAGCCAGACTCGCCTTGCTTTTAGACACTCATATATCATCCACTCCATTCACGGTTCTCGGAATCGCCTCAAGTTCGACTTGCATCCCCAAGTTTCACGCCGCGATTCCACATGGCCCGGATGACGTCACTCTCTCGCTCGCCGTCGCTCGACGTTAAGCGCTTCGCTGTCGTCATCGCTGGTGAGCCCACCGTGTCGCCTCGTTGTCCTGCCGTATCGCCCTGACATGTCACACGACGCCCCTGCCATGTCCTTCGCCTGGTCGTGTCGCTCGTCGCCCTCCCATGTCATCTCGTCGCCTCCGTCACAAAGAATGGGGTGGGACTCGAGGGACCGAAATTGATGTATGCCAGAGGTATACACCTAGGGGTGTTTGTCAGATGTATGCCAGAGGTATGCCGAAGCTGTCTCAAACCCATGTTAGCGTACCCTCAGCATCGCCACACGCGTGAAATCGCGCGAAGTGACACGCTCGGATTTCTCGGAGGAATGAAAGCCATTCTTTCGTCGCCCTGCCGTGTCGCTCCTGTCTCTCTGCCACGTCGATCGCCCAAGAGTCGTTGCGCCGAGGTATCATCGCGCGCCTGCGGGTCTGCATCATGGATAGCCCTACACGCGGGCCTTCCACATCGCCTCCGCGCTTCCCTCCCCCGTAGCGTCTCCACCTGTCCGAACAAAATCGCACCTCTTCCAGAGCCGCAACTCTCGTGACCGCGAATGCATGTTTCCCCCATCCTTTGCTCCATTTTTTCCCACATGCTTCGCTCCATTGTTTCCCCCCATGGTTCGCAAAGCACTGTTTCCCCCATGTTTCGCAACCCTGTCTCCCCCATGCTTCGCTGCTCTGTTTCATGCACACCCCCTTCCGTTGGCAGCACTGCTCTCGCTCTCTCTCTGCTGCGCAGCGCGCGACGTCCATCGTGTGCTGCAGGATGCAAGCCATGGCCTCGACACTGGAACGGTCAGCGGCAGCACGAGTGGCAGCAGCACGAGCGGTGGCAGCATAAGCAGCGGGAGCACGGAACCCGAACTTATTGGAGCTGTAAGCAGTGAACCTGAACTTATTGGAGTTGTAAGCAGTGAACCCGAGAGCAACAGCAACAGCAACAGCAGCACTGGCAGCAGCTCTGACTCCATCAGCTCGGGCAGTACCTCGAACTCCATCAGTGGGGGCAGCACCGCGAGCGCAGGGGCGACTGGGGACTCCATAAGTGGAGGCAGCACTGGGAGCAGCAGCACTGGGAGCAGCACTGGGGGTACCGACGAGTCGAACAATGGCGGAAAGAGTGTCACTGTAGACCTTAATGCCCCCATCAGATGTGAGTTCATGAACATGCACATGCACATGCACATGCACAGGCACATCCACATGCACATGCATGAACACCACCTCCTAGCACTTGTCTCCTTCTACTGCATACCATTTGCTGCCTGCTTTCACTGTTCCTGCTGCCTCTATGACTCAACTGTCCCCTCTTCTGCCCGGCGTGTCCCCTGCCCGCTGCAGACCAAGCTTCGTCAGTGCTCGGCTCACAAACCAACATGGGCGCCAGGTTCATTGTTGATGTGAATATGTGAGTGCAAGTCACTCGCTCCCCTTCTAATCGCATGATGATAGCAACCTCAGCGCACATGTTTCCCATTCCAGTTTCTAAAACTTCTCGCCTCCAATGAACTTGATTCCCCCTTGCGCCTGTGCTCTGTCTTGTCTCACCCCTACATCTCACCACTCCGTCTCACCCCCTACATCTCACTGCTCCGTCTCACCCCTACATCCCTCTCCACCCATTCACAGCACATCGGCGCAGCAAAGGGCGCTCTTCATCTTCACCGTGACAAACGTGCCGAGCAGCCCAGTGCCTGTCTTCTCCAACTCCTCCTACCACACCAACGCGGGCCAGCTCGTGGCAACGTTTGCATGCGTGCCCAAGCCCATCACCTTTCTCAACACCTACCTGTGCACCTCCAGTTCTCTCGCCAACATCACCGTGCCATTCAGGCCGGTGAACAGGCCCAAGGCGCTGGTGGATGCGGGGTTCTTCTCGAATCCCTCCGGCTTCTACTCCACCATCACTGTGAACGGCGTCACGCTGCGCGGTGGCATCACCGCCTCCGTAGCTAACTTGTGATCACCCGAGCCATGCCTTCTTATTGGTGCATTACTTCAGTTGGGCCATAGGATTGAGGCATCATCTGGATGGCAATAAATCATCAGGGTGGGTTAATTGTTGTAATCTTCTTGGCTGGTTCTGTAAATTAAAGAGTTTCGAGAGAAACCTACCAGAAGTTGCGGTGGTGCAGGGAGGTGGGGTGCAATGCAAGGCACTGGATAACACCACATAAAAAAGGTTCCCAAGGCTCAGAACACTTGCATGCTACAAATGAAGCCTTGACACATACCGTAACTTCATCCGTCGTGTGAAACGTCACTTGGCCGACCCTGGCCGAAGGAGACAGCGGTGCAGATGTGCCAGGGATCGGCCCAGTGGGTTCCAAGATGGATGGCAGTGAGCGTGATGAGCGCATGGTGCTTAATGGGGATGGTGGCAGCTGGCGGTGCTGAGAAGGTGCACAGCGATGGATGCCAGGAGGCTTGCTACGAGTTGGGCGTGGAGGGCCTCTGGGACCTGTGGAGAGGGGCGGTGGGGAAGGAGTAGGAGACGGGGGAAGAGAAATGAGAGGGGGGGAGAGACTGGAGAGGGGGGGAGAGCGAGGAGAGGGGGGGAGAGAGAGGAGAGGGAGGAAGAGACAGGAGAGGGGCGGTGAGTAAGGAGAGGGGCGGTGAGTAAGGAGAGGGGCGGTGACGAAGGAGAAGGGCGGAGAGTAAGGAGAGGGGCGGAGAGGAAGAAGAGGGGCGGAGAGAAAGGAGAGGGGCAGGGAGGAAGGAGGGAGGGGGGCAAAGAAAAAGGAGAGTGGCGGGAAGAATGGAGAGGGGCAGAGGGAGAGGAAGTGGAAGGGCATTATGTGAGCTAGTGAGAGGGAGCTCCCAACGTGCAGCACAGGCCCTTGATTGATGAATGCTACTCGGCTCACTATGAGATGCTGCAGGGCTCACTATGAGATGCTCCAGCCGTGGCATGCTGCTGATGAGCTCCCTCACACTGCCTGACCCGCCCACCGCCACGCCTCCTCTTCCATCCCACCTACGTGGTTGGCTGCTGTGGTGCAAGTGTTTCCCGTCTGTAACACAGGAAGAAAGGAGATTTCCCCGTGGCCGCATGTGACGCGTTGTTGTAAGCGAACTCAAGTGTCGGTAACTGTGAATCCCAGTGGCTGATGTCGTCTTTGAAAGCGGTGCGCAATAACTGTTCAACCACTTGATTGAGTCGCTCAGTCTGTCCGTCAGTCTAGGGGTGGTATGCTGAAGACATTGCAAGCTTTGTCCCCAACAAACCCATGAATTATCTCCATAACTTACTAGTGAACTTTGGGTCTCTGACTGAGATGAGTGTAGCGGGGATGCCGTGGATGGTGATGATGCGGTCGAAGAAGAGGCGAGCAGTTGCTTCAGCTGTAGCTATGGCGTTGGTCGTGATGAAGTGTCCCATCTTAGACAACTTGTCGATCACCAAGAGTATAGCGTCATGCCCTTGTGAGGTCGAAAGAAGGAAGTCCCGTGATAATGTCGAGGCTAACGATCTGCCATGGCTGCTCTGGTACGGGTAGAGGATGAAGTAACCCTGTTTTTTTTGCTTGCTACTCTTCATCCGCTAGCATGTGTCGCATGAGGTGACGAACTGCTACACGTCTGCTGCCATCCCGGGCCAGTGGTAATACTTCGCTATCCCTGATAACGTCTTGTTTCTCTTGAAATGTCCCGTGTACTGTACGTCGTGAAACTCCTCCAGCAGAATCTGTCGAAGCGGGGCATAGCTCGGTACCCAAATCTTCCTTACAGCTAGGTCTTTCTCCCACTTTAACAACTTCTGGTTTTGTGCCGTTTCAATTTCTGCATCCACGGAGTACCCATGTTGGAATACACCCTTGAGTAGAGGGTGCATCTCGTCGAGCTGGATGTCTGCTACATGACCGGGGCGGCTCAACGCATCTGTTTTTTTTGTGAAGCCCGGGCTTGTAGACGATGTCGTAGTGGAATTGAGTTTCCAAAAGGTCCACCAACTGCACCAGTCGTCGTAAGAGCGTCGACTGTGACTTCAGGTATCTGAGACTGCAGTGGTCAGTATGGACTGTAGTCATGGCTCCCTCTAGGTAACACCTCCACGCCTTGAAGGCTATGACTATCACTAAGGCTTCCTTGTCATGGATGGGGTAATTCAATTCTGCTCCGTGTAGCTTCTTACTGAGGTAGGCGATGGGGTGCAAACCGCGTCCGTGATCCTGCATCAGTACTGATCCGACTGCCTGGTCTCTAGCGTCTGCTTCCACCACGTAGTCCTTGTCTGGCTCCAGTAGGATGAGTACTGGCGTTGTGGTCAGTGCTGCCTGTAGTTGCTCCATGGCTTGCTAATGAGGAGTATTCCATTTGTAGGGCGTATTCTTTTTCAGTAGGTTGGTTATTGGCGCTACTATCTTAGCATACTGTAGCACGAACCTATTGTAGTAGTTGGCGAAGCCTAGGAACTGCTGCAACTCCTTCATGTTCTCCGGCATTTTCCATGTATAAATGAATTCGATCTTCCACGTGTCCACGTGTACGCCCTCGGCACTCACCATGTCCCTGAGAAACTGCACCTTCTGCGGGGTGAAGTCGTGCTTTGACATATTCATGTAGTACTTGTTTTTCCGCAGGATCTCGAACACCTTCCGCATGTTCTCCACGTGCTCCTCCATATTATTGGAGTAGATGGGTATGTCGTCTAGGTACACCACTATGCACTCGTCCATCAGGGGTTGTAGGATATGATTCATCTCCGCCTGGAACGTTGCTGGTGCGTTGCAGAATCCGAACGGCATCACCAAGTATTCGTAGGAGCCGTATCTGGTGCGGAACGCCATCTTGTGGATCGAGTTGTCTGCCATCTTGATCTGCCAGTAACCCGACCGTAGGTCCAGCTTCGAAAACACCATTGCACCACGCAGTTGGTCTAGAAGATTGTCTATGCGTGGTATGGGGTGTTTGTTTTTTACTGTCTGTTTTTTCCGAGGCTGGTAGTCGATACACATCCGTAAACTACCGCCCGGCTTTGGAGTGAAGAGAACTGGTGCACCGTAGGGAGAGGTGGATGGGCAGATCAGTTGTCTGTCCAGTAGGTGTTCGATCCGTTTCTTCATGTCTGTCAGCTTGGACGAACTAAGGCGGTATGGTGCAAGTGAGACGGGTTTTGCACCTGGTTCCTCCACGATCTCGTGCTCGTGGGTTCGCACTGGAGGTACTCCTGTAGGCAAGTCATCTGTCATGATGTCCTTGTATTCTACTAACACCTCCTCTACTGCTGCGGGTAGCTCCGAACTCGGTTTCTCCTCCTTTGTTACTGCCATCACCATTGCTAAGTAAACCGTGTTACTCTCGTTCACTGTCCGTTCGAACCGTGCAAGTGTCGTTTCAGGAACATCCCCTGTATCCGTCCAGCTTCGCAGCTCCACACCTTACCCGTTGTTGTAGATGCTTGCCTTCGGGTTGACCCAGTCTATCTCGAGGTTGAACTGCTTCAGAAAATCACGCCCGAAGATGAAATGTAATCGCTTGATGTTCGTGATCGGCAACGTTGGCTTCCACCTCAACGCCCCTATCTGCAGCTGCAATGTTGTCTCCCCGTGGATGGAAAGAATCGTACCGTCCACCATCGTTGCTGTAAAATGGGTCTTCTCTGAGGTTTTTCCAATTTTCTCCAACGTCCCGCGGTCGTACACTAAGTGGGACGCACCACTGTCCACTAGTGCCTGGAGGCGTTGCCCGTTGCAGATCCCCTCGAGGAGTAGTGGCTGGTTCTGCTCCGAGTAGCCGTAGATGGTCTCGCTTACAGGATCATAGGGTATGTCAAATATATCGTTCTTAGGTCTGGCACTTGAAGCTGCTGACTCAATATCACGTTTCACCTGAGTAGGGCTAGAATGATTTATCCAAGGCTGGTAGAGCTTCTCCTGTGCCTGGAACCTTCTGTTATGTCTTAGTACTATGCGGAAGCGATTAAACTCAGCTCACGAGCGTAAGTTAGGCAACACTTAACATCACTTGTAGCCCCCCGAGTGTGACAGCATGTCACCTCATAGCCAAGGGCGCAGCGAACAAGTGAGTAGTTATGCTCAATGTAGCTTGTAGAGTGAGTGCTTTGGTCAAGCAGAATTTCGGCAGCACTTCATTGGGTTTCTACTCTCGTCAATACGTAGTAGTAGAATTCCAATAAAATCAAGAATGACATCACTTGATAAACACACATGCAAAGATTTATACTAACCCACCAAAAGCAAAAGAAATCAGCCCACCAAATTGATAGCTGGCACTATACTTCGAAATGCCAGGTTTCTCCACGCGAAATTAGTGGCACCATACTTGCCCATGAACATTTATATGGAGCTCGTGAAAACTCGTGGAGATTTGTGGCCGTGACAGCTCATGAAAACACCTGACAATTCGTGTAGTTACCGACGGAGTTACAAATTCGCCGAATTTCTTCTCGCACTGGTTCGTCTGACTTCGAAATGAAATGCGCACGTCGCAAAACTTTCTGCCGAAAATTTCTTCTCGGAAGATGAAGACAAAACGCTTGAGGGTTCCACAAATTCAATTGTGGACCCACGCGCACCTGTCTTATCCCACGCGCCACCTCACTGCCACACTTGTGCGTGTGGCAGCAATTGAATTGCGGCCCTCAGGCGAGCATGTGCCTCCCCTGGCACCCTTCGGCCTTTTGGTGCTTTACGCATGATTGCGCAGCAGGGCTCGGGCTCATGGCCTCGAGCCTTGACCAGCGCGAAATCGGTCAAAGGGGCTGGTCAACAAACTCGAGCCCCAAGCACACTCGACACTCACAACAGCGCTCATGAAAATGACTCGACATTCATGAAACACAGAACATTCATGAAACACAGAACATTCATGAAACACAGAATATTCATAAATGCACATGTTCGTCCATGAAAAAGACATGAACGTACATGAGCCGACATGAACGAACATGACTCGTCATAATCCGTCATGATTGATCATGATCCCACAGCAATAGAACAT